TTATTAATGTATTCCACATAAAAAAACCCCAATTGTAACGGCTCTAATGTTGCTAACCTCATTATCTTCCAAAACTCTATCTCTATAAATTCGGTGGTAATGAAGACATTTGTACCGAGACTCTTCAACATATCATTATAGGAATAACACCTTATTAACCACTAGTATTGGTAAGTATATAGGTATAACTTTGAATTATAATGAATACGAACTTATAGTGTATCTTTATACAACTGTATCTTCATTAAATAAGGATGGATTGATCTACCATCTATTATTATATTATTTGCGAACTAAAGCCCATGACTTCGTTATTGAGATATTCATTATATTATTAGCTGCTTCCTGCGGATTTACACGCGAGAAACTTTGGTTCTCATTCCTATAGATTTTTTGGGGAATATTTTCGTTTTTATTTATGTAATTGGAATGGAAAAAATGCAGACATGCTACATGGTAGTAAATGGTAACCGTCGCCTATATACATTAGCAGCAGTAGGATATCACTCTGTCATGTAACGATGGTAATACCCCTGGGAAGACCATTCAAGAGGACTTAGACGTTAAGATGTATGACAGGATTAGTCTTAATGCTTAATTTTAATGCTGTATTTCACTTTTCCACCGAATACGGCTCACAATAGAAGTTGGTTGATGACTGAAATAGGTAGACACGCAGACATCTTTTTACAAAGATTTCCTCGGTGATATTCATGTCTAAAAACTAAAAATTTGAGCATTATTTTTTTGGTTCATATGACGTTAATCAAATTTAAATAACATTTGCTACAATATTGTATGTCAAAATATTAAATTACAAATTGCACCTAATTGGCCATGCGACATTTTATTGATAGAAATAAATGTTATGTTAAAATTCTAAATTAATGGGGAAAGCTACTTTCAACGCTTCGTAATGCAATTTAAAAATCTATTTTACAGATATTTCTTTAGAAGAAATACATAATTATGAAACTAAGTTGAAACAAATATAATAAGATGCGCATAGTGATAAGGTCGATGGAAAAAATTACATGTTGCGTAAAGATGCAAAATCATGAGACGCGAACCAGATGTTACAATGGCTGCACTTGTTTAATGGACTGCGACCTGTAGATAAGTAATTAGAGAATTTATGTATTACATGAGGATTTAATGACTAACTGAATAAATTTATACATTACACAACTATATTAGGTATTTATAGTGCATACAATAAAATATAAAGAGCAACGAAATGAAGTGTTGTAACGCAAGTGTTGCGAAATATACGAAATATGCGATGACTTCGAGAATTAACAAAATCAATCCCTCCTTCGATTATACTCCTCACAATTTCCGTGGCATAACATTATTGAATGGAATTTTATTATAGTTTATATAGATATGTTAAGAATTCAATATTAAAAGAGTATTATAGGAAGACAGGAAGGCTAGACATGAGAAAGAATCCTTATCAGTGATTTGCCTAATTAAAATAAGTTTATTATTATGTAGTACGTTATTACGATAAAAATGTTAAACGTTCAACAATACTTTATAGTTGATAGTTAAAAAAACTTAAATTTTAAAAATAATAATGACGACGAAAAGCAGTTGTAAAAAAAATGTAGTTCTATAAAACTGTAACTGTTTCTGCTGTTAGAAACATGTTCAATTTGGATGACTTAATAACTTTGTTAACAATGAAAGTGTAAATTAGATTTATATGTAACGGTGATTGTGGAGCGCCTAGACAGACTAAATACATTTATTGGTTTACACTAATCTAGATCCAAATTAAGCAGTGCCTATATTGTCGCCACAAAAATAAACTTTGGAATAAGTTCTCTATTCCTCTAAGGTTACAAAGTATATTATACTGATATTCATAGGGAGGCAGCATGTGTATGTATAATGCTTGATATAGCTACTTACTATATTTTATATTTTTCTATTAGTAAGTCATCAATTTATATTCCATTTAAAGTTGTAAAAATTTAAACGCAAATCAAACGGAAACTAGTTGTTATTATCATTTTATGTACTACAATTTCATTCTAACTGTATCCCAATAATTCTTCAAAGGTATTCTTTACTAAGCACCTATAATTTCTATCAGTCTCTTGAACACTCATACGTACAATACATCAAGTATGGAACGTTGTTAATTATCTGCGCTTAATTATCGAGCTCTCCTTTTTATTGCGGCCTCTTGTGGGAACTCACCGGAACAATATTATCGGAAACTACGTACCCACAATCATATACTAGACAGAGTATATAATGTTCATTCAAGTACTTACACTTGCGGTTACCTACTAAGAATTTATACTCTGTTCGTTATAGTATGACTCCGATGACAGGTATTCAAATTAATTTACGAGGCTCCCCTGTATTTGACCAAGCAATTGCTTGCCTTTAATATCAATTATGTATTGAATAGAAATAAACTTATTATATACACCTTTAAATACTTTTTTAATTTAACATACATCATAAATTGACTTATACATAAAAAACATTTGTATGTAGTATAAAAATCAGTTGATATTATAAATATATGAACTGGCATTCATACCACATATGTAGCTAAAACGTAGAGGTGATGTTGTATTTAAAAGTATCTAATTTAGGTAGTTAGGTAATGTAATTTCAAATATTATTTACATAAGTGATTTCATTGTATTGCTGTCTGGTCCCAAGCCAAACAGAGCTTGTGTTAAGGGTACCAGGTAACTTATACAAATATATAGCTATTTTTTTTTCGTAAATACATACATATTATACGTAGAAAACAATTATACTCATGAATATAAATGTTTGTGCCATGCGAGGAGTCGAACTCGCGACTATCGGAAGTAAGACTGTGTGCTAAACTACTAGACCGCCGGTCGTTGTATTATATATATATAAACAAACGTATGCCTATTATATAAACGGGATATTTAACCGTGACCAAGACGTTTGTAACATGTCGAAATATCGGAAGCTCATAAATAATATCATCATGGAAGAATCTTGTTTATATAATATGTAAAGTTGTAAACAAGTGTACAAAAACAATTTAACAAATATTTATGACCATTTATCTATTATAAAAGCTGTTTAATTCCATAGGTTTTTGGCAGATTCAGACTGTCACATTTGATTTATTCAGCCTTCACAGTGTATACTTGATATAACCGTAAATAATGTCATAATAAAATAAGATCATAATTTCGCGTTTTGCTTATATATATATATATATATATATATATTATTAAATTTTTAAACTACATCATATTTTTTGAAAAGTTTGCTTTATATTTCAGTATTATATTACAATCAATTAATTACACGAAATATAAGTGTATAGATGTAATACATTAATTTATACTAATTAGCACAAAAACATTTTATAAATAATTACGAATCAACATTGACTTGTATTCACTTATTTGAGATCGGCATCGCATTTTTTTTTTCACATATTATATATTGAATATACATAATATATATACAGAATATTGACTACTAATATATACAATATATATATTTTATGTAAATGTATATATATATATATACAATGTGTAAGGAAATAACAAAATTTATTTAAACTAGAGAAACCTATGCAGATATCCATATTTTTAAGGACGAGCTCAATAGATTTCTGTAGACCGCAAGTCTAAACACCAAAAGATAGGCTAAATTCTTTAATAAAAAAAAAATACACCAAGATGACCCCATAGGATCACCAATGTGTCTGTCAATTTTTATAAACATAGAGAAGGCTACTTTGATATATTTATATGATAATGTGGATCAATGTACAATGTATTGTTAAATAAAAATTCAACTACATGCTCGTATTTGCATAAAGAAACTTTCGATCTGTCACGTCCGGTCTAATATCGGATGTTAACGGCATGCTTATATAACTAATAGACCTCATACCCATCTAAAATGTATTAATTATTTATTAACAGTAAATTGGTACAGTTGGTGTTGCTATATAATAAATAACTAGCGATTAACCGCGACTTCGTCTGGGCTAAGTAGACTATGTCCATCCTTGTGATATAATCTGTATCTATATTTGTGATATAAATATACGATCAAATGTCATTAAAACTACACCATATAAAGGTTAAAATTATACAGACAGATAGCTACAGTGTCGCATTTATATATGAATACAACTGACATTAATAGTTTGCCTAAAATGGCTTATATGAATAATTATCATATTTATTTTGAAATATCATAGCCAAAATATATACATATCTAACTTACCTTAAATGAAATCTCTTAGGGATGACAAAGAATTAGACATATATAATACCCACATAAAAAATATATATAGAATTAGTATGATTTCAATACCTTAGCCCAACCTGTCGATATACCTACATAATAAAGAATATCTAAAATTTGTAACGATATCTATAATACACAAAATATTAATACCTTTTTTAGACCGCTGTAAAATACTAATTCAGGGTTTTTGACGTTGGTACAAATAAAATACAAATAGTAATATTATTATTAAATACATATACTATTGTTAAGTGCGTATATTACCTACATGTATTAAATACACAAGTTGTATGTACAAAACGTATGTACACGAAAAATAAATAATAGAATAAAACTTCAATGCTTTCAATTTTAAATACAAAACAAATACCTGAGTACTATTATTACGCTACGTATTATGCTTTACTTCACAAGTAGCTCGTATCATTATTAGCCAATTATTTTTTATTTCTAAAAGCAAATTATCTGTCTATACTGTATCTATGATTCATCTGTAATAATACCTAAAGACGATAATATTTACAGTATCGAATCACTTTCGCAAATTCAGGTTCTAATCTAACTCACTTTCAATGCTTTGATTAATTTCGTAGGTAATAAATTATGAGTTATATCTTATTCAATAGTTAATTTATTGAAGAGCGATGTCATAATATTTAGTGAGATAATTAAATGTAAAGCGTACTTTTGTGTAGTCAAGTGAAATGTTAATTAATTCTTACCTAATAATTTGTATACGGCGCGGCGTGTAAACCGTGCGAGCTTCTCAAATGTGGGAACAATAGAGCATTGCAATGTATATGACTCGTTATATCACATAACTAATCAAAGAAAAAGTCACTTTTTTTTTAAATTACAACTGGTCGTAAATAAGTCACTTCAATATATATAAAAAAATTTAAATCATATTTGAAAATGGAATAGAATTGAAGTGTGATTTTGTATTTATCTGATTTTAATAAACTGTTTCCTTTTTGAATTTTCGCAAACACGTGTTTTTCCGGAGAGAGTAGACGAGATGACTCGCCGGTACCGCGAGTGTCGGATAAATGGCGAACGGAGAGAGCACCTGTACGGCTCATCCACGCACATGGCTGAATGTAAAGCACCTGTTACATTAGTACAGCAACAGAGCAGTAATTTACGACAATTCTGTACACCACCAGATTTCAACAAATTAATATAATACGCACGATACGTTTTGAACCGTATAGATTTTTCTTAGCTTGTATTTTATTAAATTCTGGACTTCTTTCAAAACAATTTTTAGAATGGTACTTAATTTCTAATATAGCTTAGCACAATGGAATTTTTTGATACATTTTTAAATACATATGATTATGGACAACATTTTTTAAATTTAGTCATTGATGTAAGTATTATAATAAAGTTAAAATCCCAAATTATCTGATGACGTTTTAATCAGGTAAATTATATAAAATAAAATATATGTTAATACATATATTTTAATTCGCTTACTCAATTTATTTTCAACTGTCAGCCGATAAAACCTATCACTTCATCCACCATCATTCAGAAATGTTAATAAAATTTACTTATTGAACTTACTTCAGTATTAACAACGTGGCTTTTTTATAAAATTATGTTCTACAGTTATGTTCTAAAAGAAAAATTCTTCTAAAAATTCTATAATTTTATACAATATCAGAAAAAGATATTAATTTTTATTATCACAACAAACAAAGTTTAAAAATGAAAACAGAATACGGAATAAAAAAAGCATATTGATATCTAAATAGAATTATTTCTATTATCTTATGTTAATTTCGATAAATATATGTATTATTTCTTCTAATATATATTATGACGATTTCAAAAAATTGCTGTATAATAGTACTACCTCATTTTCCTTATCATCTTTATTCCATTGTACAAAAATAACATATAAAAAGTAATCAGCAGTGTACTCTCTTCATTATACCATATTCAATTTACACAAGCATGTGTCAAATTAATAAAAAAACCCAAGTCAAGTGTAAGTTGTCTCGCACATACCTTTAGTCTACTAATCGTATCAATGAAAAAAAATATGAGGGAATTTTTAGATAGAGGGATTTTTTTAGGTGGAATCATAAACGTTACAAAATGTGTTTATTTGTGAGGATTTTTTTAAAATAATGTAACTATAAACGTTTAGGTTCAGAAGCTATTTGTCGCGATCATTGATAGGTAACTAAAAAGTATTCCATAATTAGTTATTTACTATTTTCTAATTCGTACTAGTTTGTATTCATAAAAAATATTAACCATGTAGGTAATTTAATGAAATATTTTTCGTCCAGTAACCTTGTCTTAATCTGCATTCCGAATGCGGCGGTAAAATCAAAAATTCCTACTCAAAAGTGAGTGTATTAATAACTAACTCTATTTAAATCTAAATGCTAGCTACTAGTCGTTCATAAAATGCAGCCCTGTGGTTTGTTTTTTTTTAACTTTATTCTACGGATACATAAATAGTTAATCATTTCTATATTTGATTTGATGTTGATTGATGTCGATTGACTTGTCCGCGTTCTTATGACGCCTTCTGTTAATTGTTACATCTGCCACGCATTCAATAGACGTTGTTAGATTTTATGCGTGTACTGGACGTCATATAAACCGGTTTAGGGATGGCAAAACTTGATTAATATCGTAATGATTCTGTCAAGTTTGATATCTTCATCAATAGCAGCAATTTGTATGAAATGCAATTCATCAAAACGCTGATTTGCATGGTAAAAATTCAATATTGTAATAATCGGTTATAAAACTGAATTGTATTCAATTCATAAATCTTGGGGCCCGTTGGTTTTATTGGATATTGATATTTTTTCTTGATTATTTGGCTACTGTAAATTATGCCTTGTGGGTTTTTTAAATTTCTTAGCGGTAGGTCTGTGATTTTCGTATATTGTAGTTTTACAGTTACTCAAAATGTAGTATGATTAGGTAGGTTATTGAATGTAGTATGATTAGGTTAAAAAACTCAATATATTGTATATTTATTTAATATATTTGTACATTAACTTTGGGTTGCTTTTGGGAAATTAATAGGTGCACTTTTATTTTTTAATTACTAAAGTTTAACTTTTGCACATTTCAGTTGAAATATTAACAGTTGTTAATATTTTAAACTACTATAAGAATAACAGTTTAACAATTCTTTATACCTTTGTATTTAATTAATTAATTATTAATATACAAAATTTTATCTGTCCATCAGTTTGCGGTCACGGTATCATAGCTTATTAATAAATCTTGTACAGTTTTGTAACGTAAATTTGTAAATTAAATTTGAGAAATCTTTGTACGAAAACTTTTTATCATTCTATGTGTGAATCCATCCATGCGAGAGCCTGCTCCCATGGATGCATGGATCCACCACCGCCGAGAAGAAACTCTGAGCAGTCCCCTTTATCGACGTACGTTAACACTCACTTTCGACGCTCGTGCTTCTCTCCCTGCCCAGCTAAATGCAGTAGGAGCTTGCAGCATCTGGTACACGTTTTAGTCTAGAACTTACCGCAGTTCTATACAGGGCAAGATCTTTTAGAGGATTGTAGAGAAATAGCGCTGATAGATACCTCTCGCTTCCTCTTCAACAGAATATAAATCAACCATATAGCCATTTTTACTTTATGTGTTTGTTAGTTCGTAATATTTATTTGTTTTTATTACATGGTCTTTAGGCAAAGTTTCCCAAGCAATAGAGATCTCTACCAATACTATACGTTTAGTGTTCTGTCTAAATAAAAAATAGTCTAAAAATATTGTATTGTTGTATTTTACTTTTACCTGTCCTGAAACATTTAATATTAGTACGACAATGACTTTAAACTGTGATGAATGATAGAAGAAATATTGATTTGTTTAACCGATCCATTCTATTACTTAGGGTAAGGAAGCCTTCCAGAGAAGAACGTACCGCCCTACGAAGCCGAAAACTCACCTGCGATGCACCTGGTATGACCAGTGCTCATGGGCGGTGATAATTACCAACATCAAGTGTGTCTCCAAAATGTGAACATAAAAGGCAACATTTTTCTTGTGTTTAAGTATGGTTACTTAAACACAGGAAAAATGTTGCCTTAATTATATCCATTAATTTATTATCTATTTCCTACAAACAAATTACCTAGATAACAATTATAATTTAAAGCGCTACAATACGTAAATGCATTTTTGTAACAATAAACTAACGAGTTTAGTAGGGATTAGTAGACGTGTTTTTATACATATAGTCTGAGGCACTGCATCCAATACCTCTATCTTGTCGTGTCTTCACTGCCCTCATTATTAAATAATGTTCTGTGGTTGGTGAAGGTGGTAAGATCAGAGATAAGTGGTATCAATTTGAGAGATTTAATATTTATTTTCTACTAACTCATTAAGACGAGGGGTTTAATAAGTATAGTTAAATAGAATATGTTACTAATATAGGTAGGTAATATTATAACTCTTGTTTGGATACCACTAAGTATTTTGAATATGATTAGACATTATAAAGTATTGTTTGATATCCCATATGTAAAATATTAATAACGTAAAATATAAAAATATATCTAAAAACGAAGTTAAAGCCTTGAGAGGTTTTATACCTATGTATGTGACTCTACCTTCCAAAAGCCCAAAAACTAAGTATGTGTCAGTGTGTTCATTGTTGCCTTTTCGATTAATATAACTTTTATTAATATAAAATTATAATGAATACTGAGGTGGTGTTTTCTATTCCCTGATGGGATAATAAAACAGGTAAGTGTGAGTGACGTTCTATATTTGTTTGTTGCACTGAATCCGGTGTCACAGTATAAGGCCAACATAACAACAACTACGACATAGTCACATAACCCAGTAACTAACAGTAATTATTAATCTTCAGAATTTGAAAGCTTTTTTATGTATATGTACTGTGCAACCAATATGCGCATAATTTAAACTGTACAACTTACTATTACAAAAAAGATGGCAGCGGTGGGATTCGAACCCACGCCTCCGAAGAGACTGGTGCCTTAAACCAGCGCCTTAGACCGCTCGGCCACGCTACCAGATGACAGGAGTCCCGAAATAACTAGTGATATTCCTGGTGCGCTATTAATAAATTAAAATAGGTGAGCAAGTCCAAGATATCAGTTAAAAGCAATAAAAATATATCGCCGTATATCTGTGATACGGAGCGTGACTGATTTACACACTCAATTTACTGGTATTTAAACTAAATTAATGAGGATTACAGTCATCAGTTGTTCAATACCATATTTTTGCTGCATTATCCGAACTGAAATTAATACCATTTAAACAAATGAAATCGTAATGGTAAATAAAAAGGTTCATTGTGCACTGCTTTAATTCTTGACACTATGTCTTCACCAAAGTATATTGTCCCTCTATATAAGTATAATATATAAAATATTACTCTCTGAAAAAAAATCTAGTGTTTCTGTCTATAAGTGCGTGTTACGACTTACATAAATATAGAACATCAAAATTGTAGGTGTATATATGTGTGTAAAACTTTTACACAAGTGTTTCTATGAAAATAATGTTAAGTATAATATGTGTCACAAAGGCAAGATGTTTTATTTCATAGGCTTTTGTTGAAAGATGAAAGAGAAAATAGGGTTACTTCTTATAAAACGACATACGTTGGTATCGTATACGCTGGCAGGGCACCACTGTAGAATGGTCATGAAGATAGAATTTACCAGACTTTAACCAGATTTTCGTTCAGGGTTCATAGAGCACAGCCTGAAAGCTGACCAAATGAAGTGTATTGTCAGAAATGAAATGAAATAATTTATTTAGCGAAATATTGGTACAGTACATATGATGTTATATTAAACATTATTAATCAGCAGTATTTACCATAACAGGCAGGTAAATTACATGAAAGTAGGTATATATATAATAATGAAGTCACTAATAGAGATTCTATTACATCAGTAATAGAATCTCTTATCAAATCCAGTTGAAGGCATTCATATTTTACTACTTATGTTTATATTTTTGAAGTTTATACGATTCGAATTTAAA